GCGGGAAGCGCGGGGGACGGGGTGGGAGGTCGCGGTGATTCCAAGGACACCCGAGGCCCGTCGCGCTCACCCAGGGCACAGGGGCTGCGCGTGCCAACCCCCAGCCAGCGCGGCGCACGGGGATCACAAGGCCAGGTCCTTGGGGGACTTTTCCCCTGAGCCCTAACCGGAGACAGGATGTGGAGGGAGATCAGACCGAGAGACTGCAAGGTCGGAGACCTGGATGCATAGCCGATTTTTTTTAAAAAAGCCTTTTAGTGTTTTCATTCCCTTAAAAGCAAGGCCTCAGGTATCATGTCATTCATAAAGCAGACATTGGAAATAAAACTTTACATTAAAAGGATTATTTAGTACATAAATCACTTCATAGGCATTTTTCATAAGAATCTCTCATCAGCTTATATCGAACTTGTTTTTTTGTCTTGTTTTTCGGGGGAAAAGGTTTACAGAGTTATATTCTCTCCCTTCGTGACTTGGCTTATGTGTATTTTTAAACATTTTGCATTCATTGTACGTGTTACTGGGTTTCAATGTGATATTTAAATACACACGTGCTGTAGCCACCCCTCCCCAGCATCCACTAACCAATTCTGGTATTGCTGGGGTCGATGGGCCAAAGGGAGGCCTGGTCAGGAGAGGTTCCCAAAGAAAAGAACACGCCTGGAACAAACATCACAAAGCAGGACCCAAACTTTAATTTCCAGCCCAGAACTCACAGTAGTTTGTTTTGTTTTGTTTTGTTTTTTTATTCAGCTTACTGAAACACAGTAAGACAAAGCATTCTGAGCAACCTTGCGGGCCTGGTGGCACATGTGCGGTTGTCCATGCTGATTCGTTGTTATATAACGAGACCCCACAGTGCACCTGCACTAAAGGATGGGGCTGCGTGCTCGGGTGTCCTCAGGTGTCCTCAGGTGCCCAGGTTTGACACATCTCACAGAGGCCCTACAGCACTCACTTGCTTTTAGCTTCCAGGTATGAGAGAGAGAGCGAGAGAGCTAAGAAGTGAGGTTGATAACGTACAAAGTTACCAGAACTTAAAAGATAATGAGTTGAGTAACATTTCTACACTGAAAGCGCACCACAAAGACACACCCAAACACCATATCAAAACCAGTCTTTTTCTTGTTTTGGTGTCATCAGGAAATAATCCCAGGGCCCAGCCATGCTGACAAAACAGGACACACCTAACCCAGCCACACCTAACCCAGCCAGGGGTCCCAGGCCCGGCTCCTTCTGACCAAGCCAAGACACTCCGAGAATGGCCGCCAGGGGGCGGAATAAGCACGTTCAGTGTGCAGAGAAGAAAAGGGGGCCCACTGTGGGCTTTGGAGCCTGAAAAAGTCAACCTGCAGTATAGAGGGCAAAGGTAACACTTGCCAGCGTGCAAGAATTCAGAGACTTTAGTTCCAAAAAATAAAAAATAAGTGCAGACATTCCTCATTTAATAAATGAGTTCTGGTCCTGCAATCAGGCCGTCAAATGAATTGGTCGCTAAGTGAGGAATTGTATGTAGTATGCACATTTATTACAACACTCAGAACAAAGAAATGGACAAAGGAATCCTGGCTTGATGACTTTGCTTTTATTTGCAAAGCTCCACATGCAGGACTGCAATGTACAACAGAACGTATAACGGCAGCACTGCACTGGGCATGCAATCAGCAAAACTTACAGAGCTGCATAAACGAGGTGCACTGTGCGGGAGACACCGAGGCTCTATCGGGAAGATGAGGCTCTATCTTAAGCTGAGCGGCGGGGGCAGGTCCAACAGTGGTTAGTCAGGCAGGTCACTATCAAGGAATATCTGTAAATAAAAGCCTCTTAGGAAGGTTGGGGAAACCCAAAGAATTTAGCTCCCATAGTCGGTCTCTAAAGCTGTCCAGAAAGAAGCTTCCGACAACCGCCATGACTAGGGAAGGAAGTGAACAGCACGCAGGCCAGTGGCGAGCGCTCAGCCGGCACAGGAGGCTCTGGGCTCCATCCCCAGCACTGCAAAAATTAAAAGCCAAACACCAGAGTGAAGTTTCCCCTGAACTAAGATCCAACCAGGGTTAGGATGGAGGGAGCTCGGCATGTCGCGCTGGCAAGGTGCTCCGAAGGAAGACACAGCACAGTCTCCTTTCAAGTGGGTGATGCAGAGGCCCTGTGTGCGTGCACGGGTCTTGATCCGTTTTGCATTGCTCTAACAACCTGCCCAGGACTGGGTGCTTTATTCCACTCCAGTGGCCGACTCAGCATCTGACAAGCCACAGGTGGGTCCGTGAGACAGCTCAGGTGGTGACAGAGGCCATGAGGGTCACTTTGTCTATTTATAGGTGAGGTCTTGCTAAGTTATCCAGGCTGGTCTGGAACTCAAGTTCCTCCTGCCTCAGCCTTCGAAGCAGCTGGGACTACAGGGACATGACACTGCGCCTGGCCGAGCAGCCTGTCTCCAGGTGACCAATCCCATCCTGGAACCTCTCTGTCTCCAGACGGGCATCAGTCTCTCCCCAGGTGTGGTTCCCCAGACCCATCGCCTCTCAAAGCTCCTAACACCTTCACTCCTACTCCTTTCGGAACACATCTCCAGCACAGGAACCCACAGCAAGCCAACCGCAGCACGTAGCCTAAATCACACACCTGTAATCCTAGCCCTCAGGAGGCTGAGGCAGGAAGATGGCCAGAAATTCTAGGCCAACCGGCTTTACATAGTGAATTAATTTAAGGCCAGCTGGGGCTACTTAGACCCTATCTTTAAAAAATGAATAAAATGTTTAACTAAAATAAAGATAAAGCGGCCCAGATCAGTGTCTCCTCCTCAGCACCCGCTGGCTATGTCCACTCACAACACCTGACTTAGAGGAGGAAAATAAAACTTGGCCTGATGTAACTTGCTTGTTGCAAAACCCGCAGTATACTGGAGATCCCTGCAGTTAGATTCTAGTTCCCTGCCCAGTATACAATGAAGGCCTGAAGGAAAAAAACTAAGAAACGGAACGAAGAGAGAAAGCTGGGTGCCAGGATGACCAGTGCGGGTGCAACTCCATTCCCAGGCACTGACTTTTATTGGCAATCATTGGGGTAAAGGCAACATGTGGTTTCTATGGAAATTTATGTAAACAAGGCTCCTAAAGGACAAGACAAAACATTCTCAAATTAGAAACAAAATAGATGGTTGCAATTAGAACACTGTCCTTCTAGTCAGAAGGTTTTAGATGTGGGAAGGAATTTGGGTGTAGTGACTCTGGCCTCACACTTCTATACTCAAACCAGTTGCGGGGTGGGGCAGTCCCGCCCTGTGGCACTGCAGCTCTTCCAGCTTTTCTTTGGGGCCCGGCTCTGCTTTCGGCAGTTTTTTTTTTTTTTTTTTTTT